CAGTTCTTTTTTCTTAGGATTGCTTTGGCTATTTGGGGTATTTTGTGGTTTCTCATTCTGTTTCTTTAAAAAATGACATTAGAATTTTGAGGAGGATTGCGTTAAATCTGTATACTGCTTTGGGTAATATGGCCATTTTAACTATACTGATTCTTCCAACTATGAACACAGGCTATTTTTCCATTTTAAAAGTCTTTCACAGTCTTTGTTAAGTTTATTCCTAGGTATTTTATTATTTTGGTTGCAATTGCAAATGGAATTTTTTCCCAATTTTTTCTAAAGTTTTTTGCTAGTATACAGGTAGACAATGGATTTTTGCACATTGATTTTATCCTGCAACTTAACTATATTTTTTTATTGTTTCTAATAGTTTTTTGGTAGAGTCTTCAATTTTTTGGAAAAGTTTGAGAAGGATAGGTTTTAAATCTTCTTTGAACATTTCTCTGGTGAAACCATCTGATCCTGGACTTTTTTTTTTTTTTTTTTTAATGGTGGTTTTAATTTCCTCACTGCTGACTGTTCTATTTATTTTTTCCAATTCTCCATGATTCAGTCTAGGATGGTTATATATTTCTAGAAACTTACACATTTCTTCTAGGTTATTGAATTTTGTGGCATATAATCTTTCATAATATTCTAGTATCCTTTGTATATCTGTGATGTCTGTGGTAATTTCTCCTCTCTCATTCCTGATTTTGTTTATATGGCTCTTATTCCTTTTTTTCCTTAGTGAATTTAGTTAGGGGTTTGTCCATTTCATTAATCTTTTCAAAGAACCAGCTCTTCGTTGTATTATTTTTTGTATAGTCTTTCTGTTTATTTAATTCAATTCTGCTCTAATTTTTATGATATCCTTCCTTCTTCTGACTTTGGGTGCTTTTGTTCTTCCTTTCCTAGTTCTATAAGGTGTAATGTTAGGTTGTTTACTTAGGATTTCTCTTGTTTCTTGAGATAGGCCTATAATGATATACACTTCCCTCTTATTACTGCTTTCCCTGCATCTTAGATTTTTTGACATGTTGTATTGTCATTCGCATTTGCCTCTATGTATCTTTTGTTCCCATCTTGTATTTTGTATTTGACCCAGTCATTTTTAGTTGTTTGTTGTTTAATTCCATGTATTTGTGGGTTTCTTTACTTCCATTTTGCAATTGATTTCTAATTTCAAGGCATTGATATCAGAGAATATGCTTGGTATAATTTCAATCTTCTGGAATTTATTGATGCTAGTTTTGTGACCTAATATTCTTGGAATATTCTTAAGAATGCTCTACATGCACTTGGGATGAAAGGTTCTGTAAATGTCAGTTATGTCCATTTGGCCTAGTGTTTTATTTAAGGCCAATATTTCTTTATTAGATCTTTCTAGAGGAGTATTAAGATCCCCAACTAGGGTTGTGTTTTGATCTGTTTCTCCCTTTACTTCTGTGAGTAGTTGTTTTATATATTTCAGTGCTCCCTGGTTGGGTGCATATATATTAAGAAGTCTTATGTTTTCTTGATGTAGTGTCCCCTTTATCATTATAAAGTGTCCATCTTTGTCTCTTATTATCTTTACATCTATTTTGTCAGATATAAGTATGGCTGCATGTGCTTTTCTGTGGATGTTATTTGCTTGGAGAATCATTTTTCACCCTTTTACTTTGAATCTATCAGCTTAGCCAAGAGTTCCCAGCTGCAGGGCTGCATCTGCGGATCAGGTGCACTTTCCTCCCTTCTCATCTTCCCCTTTATTCTCAGATGCCCATCTTTTGATGTTTCAATGTGCAGGTCTCTCAAGGGTGTGTCTGTGTTAACCTGTTAACCAGGGAGTTCCCTTTTTAATTATGCAACCTGTAATGGGCGCATACTCTTTCACTAGGGCTTATCAGTACGTCACACCCGGAGGACGTAATTTTATATTATTATTTTTTTATTTATACTTAATTAAAATAAATGAAATATATATTTTTTCATTTATTTATATAAATAAGCACAAAGGAAAATACAAAATTACAAACAAATAGAAAAGAATACCAACAACAAAATGGAAACATCGAATTAAAAAATTATAAATTTTACAAACAATTATAAAGATTACAAAAAATATATACCATCCCTCTCAGGGCGCAACATATATTTCAAGGACGTATTCATACGTCCTACCCGTTCCCGATATTGTTTACGTTTGACGTATTTATAGGTCCCGCTCAGTTAACAGGTTTTAAGTAGGGATTTCTTTGTTGAATTATAGTTGGTTAATTTGTTGAAATTTTAGGGGGAAAGAACAAGGTGCACTCTCACACCGCCATTCCTCTCACATCACTCAACATGAGAGCCTTATATATTCTTTTGTTTTAAAATTTCTGACTTAACTTCTAGTATGACAAATATGGGTGGATATAATCACGTTAGTAGAGCTCTAGGGAAGTATGCAATAACCTTTCATAATATAAAGGGGAGGCTAATAGTTGCTTTCAGGATGTGGACTTTGGTGATTGCGCAGTGTGAATATTGAATGCATGACAACTATGTTGAAGAAGAATGTTTTGCTTTAGAGAGAAGCTGGCAAACCTTTTCTTCATTTCTGAATGTTCTCTATTAACATATCATGTGTCCTATTGCTTTCATTGATGAAGCTAAGTGCTTGGTATTGTTGTTACTGAACCAGTAACAAAAGAAAAATGTCTAATATTGAGAAAGGCTATTTAAAATTTCCAAAGTCATCCTCATAGCAGAAAATAATCTTTTTTATTAATGACTGCAGTATGTATCCTATAAGGTTTTGCTCTTCTGACTAGCATTTAGAAATATATATTTATTACATTTAACAGTATTTGGAAACACATAGGTTCCCTCTTCCCGTGAACTGCAGTCTAAAAATAATACCAATACTAAAATTGGCTTAGTGGGGAAACAAAAGAAAAATGTAATTTCACACCTGGTTTGCATATAAATGCCACACCACAGAAGTGTCATCTTTACTTAGCCAATGGTGACTTTTTTTCCATGTAGCCTTCACCTCACTTTGTAAATGATTGTGATACAAAACATAGGAATTCATTTAACACATATCCAAGCTGTTATTGCCCTGCTTACCTGAAGGATTAGCCTAGGATGGAAACCTGGACCTGGAGATTTCTTGTCCTTTGGCTTTGAGATCCACAAAAAGCCTGAAGTACAAGTTCTCTATTAAATGTTAAAGACTTAAATTCTTTCCATTTTGACTATTAAACTGTTTTAGCTGCATTACTATGTATTTATGGATTACATAAATCACAACTGAGTTGTACATAGTAAATACTCAGCGAAGAATTATCGAGTCTGTAAATACAAAGAACACACCTGCCATCTCCTCCCCCCCAATCAATAATCAATCAGCATTCTTTGTCACAGAGCCTTAGAAACATCAGCACAACTAACATCAAACAGAGCCGCATGCAGATGAAAACCTATTTTCCACCTTGGGCTTCTGCTATACCAGTGTTTTTCAACCTTTTTTGGGCAAAGGCACACTTGTTTCATGAAAAAAATCACGAGGCACACCACCATTAGAAAATATTAAAAAATTTAACTCTGTGCCTATATTGACTATATATAAAGTAATTCTCTTGAATAGGAATCAAATAAACACAAAGAAAGTATTTTATAATTACTTTATTATGAAATATTAAGTAAACAAAATAGTGAAAAATTATAAAATTCTTGTCTTGTCTGCACCTACGGCACACCAGGCAACATCTCGCGGCACACTAACAGCGGTTGAAAAACGCTGTGCTATACTACTGATCTAATTTTACCAGTAGAGGCAGCTTTTAATTTTCATATATTTAGAAATATTTAAGATGGAAAAGATAGAGTAGCAATACAAGTTATCGCTTAAATGTATCCACTATTTCTTCAAGAAAAAAAAAAAATCAAGTGAACTGGGAAAATGAAATTGCATGTCTAAGTTTTCAGTGTTTTGTTTGTACAAACTAACAAATGGCATGGGTTTTTCACTTCCAGGTTTAAGTGTCCTGGTGTCCAGACAGTTCCTAGAGAGCTAAGTGATGTCTGGAGCTCTTGTCAGGATAGGAAGTTGAACAAATGCAAATGTCCTGACCTTTAGGTTTATCCCTGTGACCTAATGGGAAAATTGTGATGCTTTGGAAGAAAGGACTCAAATGTATATTTGATCACCCTTAATCAAAAGAATGCATGAGAGAACCAAACAGTCCTTGGCAGCCAGCCATTTGCCTTCAGAAAATTCTTGGCTATTCAAACACTTTCCTTCCCATTCTGATCAATATTATTTCATTTTTGTTGCTCACGAGAATAAAATAGCTATATCCTGTTCACAGGCCATTGAATAAAATGTTTCTCAACTCTTTTTGGCTGTGTTTTCAGACTGTCAGACAAGACAGTGTTAAAGCCCACTACTCCAGAACACATGCTGAGCTTGCTCTGCCCTACCGTGTAGGCTGCTAAAATTCTTGGCATTGGTATACACATTTTGTTTGTGTCCTGGGCAATATTGACTAAAGACCTGGCACACAGAGATAAGGTATAACACATGGTCTAGCACAGTGGTTGGCAAACTCATTAGTCAACAGAGCCAAATATCAACAGTACAACCATTGAAATTGTTTTTGAAAGCTGAAACCGACCTCTGCGCATGAGCCACAAAGTTTCAATCGCACTTTATGTGTGCACCCGCTTGTGGTATTTTGTAGAAGAGCCACACTCAAGGGGCCAAAGATTTGCATGTGGCTCACGAGCCGCAGTTTGCCTACCGCTGGTCTAGCATATAATCTAACTTAGTGCTCCTCATACTTTAATGTGTATACAGATTACAAGGGAAGCTTGCTAACTTGCAGGTTGTAACCTGATGAGTCTGGGGCAAGGCCTAGAGTCTGCAGTTCTAACAGGCTTCTCTGTGACGCTGACACAGCTGGTCTGCAGATCACAGGTTAGCACAAAGTGCTTTTTACTTCTCTATATTTAAACTTCCCAATTGGTTTTGTTTTCACTCCTACAAGGTGACAAAGACTTCAGGCTTGAGACCAATGGAACCGAGAGATGTCAAAGCAATTCGAGAATTAACCAACAGTTACCTGAAGCAGTTTCACCTTGCCCCGGTGATGGATGAAGAGGAAGTAGCCCACTGGTTCCTCCCCCAGGAGCACATTATTGACACGTTTGTAGTGGAGGTAAAGATAAGATGATATGATGGTTCAGAGAAATATGAAGATACTATATGCCACTGAGTTAGGTTTCCAGAAAGATCACTCAGTGCCATCTTTCTTCTTCCATGACTTGCTGCTTCTATACCAGATTTCTGCTCACCCTGCTAGAACCAGGTTTTCTTACCGTTTCCATTACTAGAAAAAAGCACACTTTACTACTTATGAATGGGAAATCACTATACTTTTCTGTTGCTACTGATCTTTTAATTGCTTTTCTCATTTTGCAAAAAAGCCAATTTGGATGACCTCCTTTGTGATAGATACATTCCAAAGTTTAATATTCCTTTGGTTTTGCAAAACTGGAACTAAACTGCATTTGATTGAGATTAAACCACTTAATTCAACCCTCCTTGTTCAAGTGAATGAAGGAAAAGTTACAGTTTAGATTTTCTGATTATTGGTTCTATGAGTTTAACAGTGATTTTTAAACCATGTTTTCAAAAGCTTAGAATTTGTTATGCAAATACTACTTCACTTAGAAGGTCTTTTGGTTGAAGTAAGTTGAAGTTGAGAAGTTGGGATTTAAACTCGTAATTACCTGGAGGAGAGAAAGAAGCAAAGAGTTACTGTAGTGGTCCATTCGCTATTTGTTATGAGAATTGAGCTGGAAGTGTATTTTCAGCATTGTCAGGCATTGTCTGAATGTAAAATTACAGCTAAGTTAGGGCAGTAATGGTAGGAGTAGACAGAGTGAATTCAAGGACTTTTCTGAAAAACAATTGAGCAGTCTTTGTTTTTAAACTTTTAATTTTGAAACAGTGCTGGAGTGGATATCTTTGTGTACAAACCTTTATGCACTTACACAAGTTTCTCCAGAGCAGCAGTTCTCAGTTTTCTTTTTATCCCAGGACTCGTTTACTCTTTTAAGAATTATTGAGCTTTTTATTTTTGTGGATTATATCTACAAATATATACTATATTCAAAATTAAAACAAATTTTAAATATTATTTTGTAAGTCAGATAAAGCCAAATATCATATATAATGTCACTTATATAGGGAATCTTTAAAAACAAAACAATCTCATAGGTTCAGATAACAGATTTTTGGTTGTCAGAGGTGGGAAGAAGGGAATGGATGAAAGTGGTTAAAGGTATAAACTTCCAGTTATAAAATAAATTGAGTTCTGGGGATGTAATGCACAGCATAATAACTATGGTTAATGATACTGTATGTATATTTGAAAGTTACTAAAAGAGTAGATCTTAAAAGTTTTCATCACTCGAAAAAAAACTTGTAACTATGTGAGGTGATGGATATTAAGTAGACTTATTGTAGTGATCATTTCATAATATACACATATATCAAATTATTTTGTTCATATGAAATTAATATAATGTTATACAACAATTATATCTCAGTAAAAAAAGAAAAAAAATAATTGGGGAAAAATCTATTATTTAATGACCATATAACAATAGTAAATCATTACATTTACCTAAATGACATATTTTGTATGACAAATAACTTTTCCAAAGTAACAAAATTAGTGAAAAGAATGTATTATATTATTGCAAATATCTTCTTAAATGTCTGATTAATAGAAAACAACTGGGTTCTCACATCTTCTGCATTTAGTCTATTGTGATATATTATTTTGATTGAAGTGTATGAAAAAAAATCCTTCACACAGAGTACTGAAAATATGAAAAAGAATGAATATTTTAATAGCCTTTTTAGGTAATTGTGGATATTATGTATCTCAAATCATATTAATGAACTTTTGATACTGTTAGATTAAAATCCATTGGTTTTTTTGTTAATCTTCACCTGAGGATATTTTTTCTACTGATTTTTTTTTTTCGCTAGAGTGGAAGGGAGGAAGAGAGAGAGAGCAAGAAAGAGAGAAACATCAATATGAGAAAGATACATTGATTGGTTGCCTCCTGCATGATCTCCCGCTGGGAATCTAACTTGCAACCCAGGTACATGCCCTTGAACTGGAATTGAACCCTCAACCTTTCAGTGCATGGGCCAGTGCTCTTAACTACTGATCCATGATGGTTAGGGCAGTTCTAATAGTTTTTTGGTGGAATCTGTTGAGTTTTCTATATATATCATGTCATGTACAAATAATGATAGCTTTATTTCTTCGTTTTCTATTTGGATACCTTTTATTTCTTCTTCCTGTCTGATTGTTGTGGCTAGGACTTCTAGTATTATCCTAATACCCTGTTTCCCCGAAAATAAGACAGTGTCTTATATTAATTTTTTCTCCCAAAGTTGCACTAGGTCTTATTTTCAGGGGATGTCTTATTTTCGGGGAAACACAGTATATAAAAACTCAGGGTCTGTATCATCCAAAATGACTGAAGTCTGGACCAACCGGAAGTCAATCCTGTAGTCAGTGCTAGGTTGCCATAGCGACCCGGCACTGACTGCCTCCGCTGCAGACGGTGACCCAGCACTGACTGCTGAGGGGGCTGTGGATCAGGCCCAGAGAAATACCTGGAGAGAGAAGCAGGGTCTGATCTGTAGCCTCCGTGGAAGCTGTTGATCAGCCCTAGCCTCTCTCTCTTCCTCTCTGGGACTGGCCAGCAGCACACCTCTCTCTCTCTCCAGGCCTCTGCAGGGACTACTGATCAGCCTTGCCTCTCTGATCAGGGCAGAGCTTCTGACACTGACTGGCATAAAAACCGACCAATCAGATGTAAATCTGGGTGAACTGCGAAGGCAGAACCTAAGGTGGAGGCTGAGGAGGGGTTTTAAGGGCAACAGCTGTTTGGTGTAAGGTGTAAGAAAGCGGTTCAATTTTTTAATGACTGGTTTGGCAGTATACTGCATATGGCTGGCTATCAGTCCAGATATAGGGATTATGTATTTTTGTCTGCCAAGAGCATCTTCTTCTGGACATTCGACTTCCTTCCGGACAAAGCCATGGTGGTGGGGGCTGAGTCAGAGGTGAGTTAGGGGTGATCAGGCTGGCAGGGGAGGGCATTTGGGGGCGAGATCAGGCCAGGAGGCAGGTGGGCAGTTAGGAGTCAGCGATCCCATATTGCAAGAGGGATGTCTGACTGCTGGTTTAGGGATGTCTGATTAATCTGCAGTCGGACATCCCCCAAGAGGTCCCCGATTGAAGAGGGTGCAGGCTGGGCTGAGGGAAGCTCCCCCACCCATTCACAAATTTCGTGTACAGGGCAACTAGTGTTGAATAGTGGTAAAAGCAGACACCCCTGTCTTGTTCTTCATCGAAAGGGAAATGTTTTTAATTTTTTACCATGGTGCTATCTGTGAGTTTGTCATATATGGCCTTTATTATGTTGAGGTATGTTGCCTCTATCCCCACTTTGCTGAGTTCTTATCACAAGTGGGTGCTGGATTTTATCAAATGATTTTTCTACATTTATTGATATCATGTCATTTTAATCATTCATTTTGTTTATATGTATCAAGTTAATTGATTTGTGGATATTGTACCAATTTTGCATCCCTGGAATAAATCCCAATTGATCATGGTGTATGGTCTTTTTAATGTACTGCTGGATACAGTTTGCTAATATTTTGTTGAGGATTTACGCATCTGTGTTCATCTATGTTCATTCTTTGTAGTGTCTCTCTGGTTTTGGAATTAGTTTAATGCTGGCCTCAAAGTTAGCTTGGGAGTCTTCTCTCCTCTTGAATTTTTTGGAATTGTTTGAGAAGAATAGGACTTAATTCTTTGAATGTTTAGAAAAACTTGCCGAAGCCGGTTTGGCTCAGTGGTAGAGCGTCGGTCTGCGGACTGAAAGGTCCCAGGTTCGATTCTGGTCAAGGGCATGTACATTGGTTGCGGGCACATCCCGGGTAGGAGGGTGTGCAAGAGGCAACTGGTCGATGTTTCTCTCTCATCGACGTTTCTAGCTCTCTATCTCTCTCCCTTCCTCTCTGTAAAAAATCAATAAAATATATTTAAAAAAAGAAAAAAGAAAAAAAGAAAAACTTACCTGTGAGGCCATCCAGTCCAGGACTTTTGTTTGTTGCGAGTTTTTTTTTATTTTATTACTGCTTCATTTCACTAGTTGTAATATGCCTATTCAGATTCTCTGATTCTTTCTAATTTAAAGATTATATATTTCTAGGAATTTATCCACTTTGTCCACATTGTCCAATTTGTTGGTATATAGTTGTTCATAATGTTTCTTACAATCCTTTTTATTTCTGTAGGTCACTTGTTACTTCTCTTTCATTTCTGATTTTATTTATTTTGGTCCTCTTTTTTTTCTTGATGAATCTGATGAAAGTTTTGTCTATCTTGTTTATCTTTGCAAAGAACCAACTCGTGGTTTCATTAATCTTTTGAAATTTCCTTTAAACGTAAAGTTAGATTGAGAATTTTCTTGTTTCTTGAGGTAGGCCTGTAATGCTATTAATTTCCCTCTAAGAATTGCTTTCACTGTGCCTAATAGATTTGGGGTTGGTGTGTTCTCATTTTCATTTGTTTCAAGGTATCTTTTAATCTCTTCTTTGATCTTATTGTTAACACGTTCCTTGTTTAGTAACATATTGTTTAGCCTTCATGTTTTTGTGTGTTCTTCATTTTTTTCTTATGATTGGTTTCTAATTTCATACTATTATGGTCAGAGGTGCTTGATATAATTTCAATCCTATATTTATTGAGATTTATTTTGTGTCCTAACATGTGGTCTATCCTAGAAAATTCACATGAGAAATATGTGTATTCTGCTGCTTTGTGGTGAAATGCTCTGCAGATATTAATTGAATCCACCTGATCTAGTATGTCATTTAAGGCCACCATTTTCTTGTTGATTTTCTGTCTGCAAGATCTATCCATTGATGTCAATGGAGTGTCAAAAAATCCCCTATGATTACTGTATTACTGTTAATCTCTCTCTCTTTATGTCAGTCAGGATTTGCTTAGATGCATAAATGCTCACAAAGGTTATATCCTAATGTTGGGTTGTTCCCTTTATCATTATTTAATGTCCTTCTTGTATTGTATTTCTATTTATTTTTTAAAATATTTTT